TTCCTCCTGGAACCCCCTATCAATGCCTTGGTTTATCTCACCTCCATGTTTAGTCTTGAGTCACAGAGCCACGTTATCTACTCACCTCTCTCGTACGATTTCATGTCGATGACTGCTCTAACTCCACAAGGATCTTTCTTCTTTGAACTTCTAAGGCATCTTGTTTCTGCCTCTCGTGTGATATTCTTAACCCATCCCTTCTTAGGCTGAGAATATTTGACTTTACATCTCCTCTCCTCTCCTAGACTGTCAGCTTCTTAAAGGCAGGGCGTGGCTGTTGTATAAGCTTGACCCTCAGCCTGCAGCTTGCTGAGGTGCTCCTGTGCAGAGGGAATTTGTGAATGAAGGAGCACACAAAGGTAACTCTTTTGACTTCATTTCTTCTAAGAGCTCTGCTTAACAAACTCATTGCTCCCAACCTAAAATATGAAGGGGCACTTAAAGAAAATAAGACCAGTGAGACAGTTCTTCCTCCTCTCCTTGGTAATAAATCTTTTCTACTTAAATTCATCTTTATCTATTCATTCTTTCAACACAGTCATGTATTGATCACATGCAGTAAGTAAAAAGCATGAAATGGGAAGATGCTATTCTTACTTTTCCTCTCACCATAGCCGGTGCTGAATAAAATCTTTCTAATTTTCATTTATGCTATTTCTTAGTCCTGCCAATCTTCCATGCAGTGTGGAAGACTGCATCCTTCTCATTCACCTGTTCAACATTTATTGTGCTTCTTCTCTATGCTGCACCAAGCTAGGCCTACGTCATATAGGATCAATTAAAACAAAAATCGAGAGCATAACTCCTCACTCCTTAAGTATGGACTGTACATGGTAACTTCCTTCCAGAAAATACAACATGGAAAGGGGTGGGGGAAACAGCTGTATGGTGGAGAAACCTGGAAAATACCACCTCAGCCAGTTCATCCAGGTAAACGCCAGTAGTGGTAAGTCGTGCTCACAGTATGTCTTTTGATACGACGTGATGACAATGGTTCTTTACTTCTGTGATCTTCCTCCCCCAAACCCACAACCAGAGGCTTATAATGAGGAAAACATCAGGAAAATTACAACAGAGGCCATTCTACAAAATACCTGATCGATATTCCTCAAAACTGTCAAGGTCGTCAAAAACAAAGTCAGAGAAATTGTCACAAGTCAGGGGAGCCTAAGGACACAGGACCACTAAATGCAATATTGGATCCCGGAAGGGGAAAAAGGCAAAAACTAAGGAAATATGATAAAGTATGGATTCCAGTTAATAATAACGTATCAGTATTGGTTCATTAATTGTGACAAGTGTACCATACTAATGTAAGATAATAATAGTGGCAACCAGTATGGGGTACATAGGAACTGTCTTGTACTATCTTTGCAACTTTTCTGTAAATCTAAAATATTCTAAAATAAAACATTTATTTTAAAAAATGGAACTAGACCTCAAGAATATTAATGAGAAAGAAAAGGAAGGCAGATTGTGGTACAGGATGGTAAGTGGGTTTGCGGGATTCAGTAGAACTCAGGCTGCAAGGTGAGAAGAGGCAGACGGTGACGATGATAGGGGTAGTGTCTACGGACAGTGGAAAGCTATGGATGATTCATGGACAGTTAGAAAAGTCTAAAAATATTATTGCACTTCAGAAAGGTCCTAGTTGAGGTCATCAGCATAAATTTTGGTCGGGAACAGCCAGCCCAGATGAGCAACTTTCTCATAACAACCAGGCCAAGAATAGAGAAAGCTGGTGCTATGATCGACCCAGATAAGGGCTCAGCATACAGTTTCTGTAACAATCTCTCTCCCTTAACGTGAACGACAACAAACGTGTTTTCTCCTTGAATTCTTCCAGATTCATTATTCTATGAAGCCTCCTCTTCAACAGCCCCCTTCTCTCCTTTTTCCCACATTCTGCAATTGAAAAAAATGAATAATGATAGTGCAAAACTATTCTGATGATGGTTTAGAGGAAAATGTTAAATTAAAGGATTAAAGAAGCAAGATACAGAATAAGTCAAATATGTCAAAGAAATCCAAAGGAGGCTCAATCAATTCAATATACCCTGAGATTTTTCCGCTTTTCAAAAAAACAATAAAACAAGAAAAGAAAAACAAAAAGATCACCAGCTTTTTAAAAGGATCTGGAGTCAGAGAAATAGAACCCCATGGTTCATCTGCCTTCCGATCGCCACAGGCAAAATAGCTGAGAACACCTAAAAATGAAAATGTCCTGCAAAGAATGAAACTAGTCAAACTAGAGAAATAGAAAATAACCATAGTAATACATATCTTGTCTTTGTGTAACACGTTCTTAGTTGACAAAGCATTTTCACATGTATCTCATGTGATTCTAACCAAAACTTTATGAGGTAGGCATAACAATTCTCAATGATCCCATTTTACACATGAGAGAGTGGATTTTCAGAGACTTTAAATGGCCTTTGATGGGTCTGGGATCAGAACCTACACATCAGGCTCTGGGGCTATGCTGGTTTTCCTTATGTCTGGCACCGAGGTGTACACAATCAGCACACACAGATAAAGAAGCTTCATGCTAGTAAGATAATGCAGAATATGTATCTTTCTCCCAAAAGACACATCTACAAAAACGTTAATATTTAATTTTGTTATCATTTTCGTGATAAATATATTTGATCATTAATGCGATAAATAATGTCCTTCATAAAGTGAAGGATGGAAATCATACAAAAAATGTGAAAGAACTTACAAGAGAAAGCGATGGAAAGAAATGTAAAAACATAGGAGCTTTTTAGTTTGACCTTAAGTTAGTTATTCTTAGACTAGAAATGAGGGAAATTAAGCAGGTAATATATATAGACCTTTAAAAAAAATCTACACATCTGGATCATTATGTGCTATTCTGAAACAACTGAATAGGAAAAGAAGGGTAAGACAATGTTATAGAAATCAGTAGCAAAACTTGTGAGAAAGCGGTCTAAATTTATATAGTCTAAAAACATGACTCAAAGAGACATAATCGCAGCCTATAAATATCCTCCAAGCAGCAATATGTGGTAAATAAAGTGAATTATTCACAACCTTGGGTTCGGGTCATCTCTCTTTGTCCAGTTGTCTAGGGAAGACAGTGCTCTACCCCTGAGCTGGTGTCATCCGTAGAAATTAAAACGGCAGATGAGGGCTCGCCAGGCTGGGCCCTGTTGGAGATACTCAGGTGGAGGATTCAAAAGAAGAAGCACATCGAATGGCCTCCTGAGATTCTCCATATTATTAAGAATTAGACTGGAGAGTCTCACCACACAATAAAGTGTTTTCATTTTTTCCCTCACCTTTGATAAAGAACGACAGAGAATGAAATCAAATCCAAAAATGCTTTTAGTTATTGGCCCACCTGATTGGAAGACAAAATGGAATATGAAAAATTAAGAACATTATAAAGTGCTCTGCTTTGCTATCAGCAGACAACATGGTACTGAATCTCATGAAAAATCACCCAAGTTTATGAAGTCGAAGTCACTAGGTCACGGTTCTCCTAGCAAACCTGTCACTTACGCTGTTGCACAGCTCCAGTTTTCTCATTGTCATAAGGTCATCAGTAGCTGTCTCTCCTGGTAAAATCACATTTAAGACACCAAAACATTTTAAAAACCCACTGAGAGCTGTGACATACAGATTATTACTGATGATTAACATTAGTATGATGTTCCCTGATGTTATGCTTCAAAAACATCATTTTCCACAAATATGTCTTTCACAGAATAGTTTTCTCCCTTTTGAAAATTTCTAGGTTTTCAGATTAAAGCTCACGATCTCCTTAAGCTACAAGTTATTTCAAAAGGTCTGCCTGAGCCCAGCCCTTGAAGCAGCCTAAATGGTTTGAATTACAGCCAAGATGGCCCTGGGCAGGCCCCTGCTGGGTGTACAGCAGCCGTCTGTAGAGTGATACTTTAAATATCAAGAGTTCTCTAAACACAGCATGCTCATTTCAGCCACAGAGCAATCAAAATCCAAGCAATTTTTTTTCCATTGCCTTTCCAAGCACAATTTTTCTAGCCTTGTAGAGAAGCTGCCTACATTTGGTTTTGCTTGTCTTCATTTTGCATGTAACTATTTTGTATGCAACCAGATATTTAGTCCTTAAATGGGCAATAGTTCCTTACTAACATAAGAAAGACCTTGAACCGTGTCTTGTTGTGATCTTAAGATATTTATGTAAATAAGATGTGTATACCACCCTTTAGGGCATTGCATGGATCTTAACCAGCGATGAGGTGATATGCTGAAGTATTTAACTGAAGGCTGCTTGCTTGCTATGACTACGGCCTGCCAGCCATGTGAACTGGTCCCTGAGTGCGAAAAGTGGGTGCCCAGAGAGTGTCAAGTGGAAAAAAACAAGGATTTTCTGTAGGAATATCTGCGGCTTGTTTTCAGGCTTACAGTGATGGTACCTTAGTGCTTCAAATGATCATTGTTTTCCCAAAGGTAACCCAGGAGCACTTCAATTGAAGCTGGGCCTTTGTGACAATATTAGCCCAAGAAACTGTAGACTTTTTTTTCTTACTACAATAAAAACCCTAATAGACTTTGAATAAATGCCTGTACAAGGAGGCAGAAGTCCATGCGAGCGCACATACATACAGACTATTAAAGCATTTAATGGGATTTTCTCCACTACAACTGCAAAGTACATGAAAAACACAAATTAGGCTGCAGGTGTTGCCTGTGCTAACGTCCTATAAGGAGACAATAACAGAGCTCCAGCCTCTATTGACTGCTTTCCTGAGTTGGTGGAATTTGCCAGACCTGCAATATTAACATAGAATTATGGAAATTGGAAACAAAAAGCTGGAATCTACTAGGAATGACAGGCTGAAGATGAACTCAACTGGAAAATTTGGCTAACTGAAAGTGACATCCTTTGTGCTGGAATTTTTCTATCTGAAAGCTTTAAAAAGGCTGTAATTATTTTGAGTTTTCAATTCAACCCTTTTCAAACTAAGCCTTTTATTTCCTTCGTCACTCTGTACCTTTCTTCCATGTGAACTCGGGCATTTGCCAGGCACTGAAATGGTAAATTCATATTGGTTTTATATACAGATCCATTGTCAGAGAATGCAACACAATTTCTGCATCCTCTATGCCAAGAAAAACAAAGGAATATTTGCACATCAAAACCTTTATCTTGTGTACAGGCTCAAAGTACCTGAGCACAGCTAAAGAAGTCATCTAAGGAGAAATGGCTGATTAATGCCAAAGCATTATTTCTTTGCAAGTTAGTGCATTTTCTCCATGATGAAGCCAAGGAATACAAGAACTTAGACTTACCTTGTGGCTTTTGGGTCCCAAATAACAATGTCAGCATCTGATCCTACAGCTATTCTTCCTTTTCTTGGATAAAGGTTAAAGATTTTGGCTGCATTTGTGCTGGTAACTGCCACAAATCTGTTTTCATCCATTTTACCACTGTGCTGTAAAGCAATTCAAAGAATCATTCTAATGATCAAATACTAAAAAGTATCATATCAATAAAATGACAAGACATGCATCTCTTAAACAAACAGAACTACACCTAATTTCTTATATCGTGGAGCATCTGAGGATGCTGATAAGTATTAAACAGTCATAATGCTAATGATGGAGACGATGGGGTAACATATGGAAGCCTGAAGATGACTTTTCAAAAACCCCATTAATTAGCATCCACACTAATTCTTCCCATTCATCCTAGAATCACAAAAATTGGTATAGGTGACAGCTAGATTTTGGTAATGGTATTTTCGATTCTCATTTAAAGTTTGACAATACCACATTTATGATCTGGCTTATTTATTACAGACCTAAGATTTATGAGATAATCATGTAGACATTA